GCAGAGACCAGAAGAGGGTGTTGGATCCCCTGGAACTGGAGTTACAGATGATTGTTAGCTGCCATGTAGGTGCTGGGACTTGAACCCTGGTCCTCTAGAAAGCCCCTAATTTTTTTTTTTTCTTTTTGAGACAGGGTCTCCCCGTAGCCCCAGCTGGCCTGGAACTCACTATATAGACTAGGCTGGCCTTGAACTCACAGAGATCCACCTGCCTCAGTCTCCCAAGTGCTGGGAGTAAAGGCATGCACCGTCTTGCCCAGCTAAAAAAAATTTTTTTTTATTGCATTTTACTTATTTTCTACCAGAAGAGAACATAGAATATAGAGTCTATCTAGTAGAGGATACTATGAAGTCAGTTACAGATCTTTTCCAGAAATTCTTTTCTGTTTTAAGTATATTCATACATAGAAATGACTAAAAGAATTGGTGTATTTACTATCCGTAGGTTTATTTACATTGAATTATTGCCTCTTTCCTTTGAAAATTAACCTCTGAAATAAAGGTAATGGACAAATGTTAGTCATGATCCTAATTTTTTTCTTCTCTCTAAACCTTTTAAGCTAGTCCCTTATATTTTTGTTCATTAGTTGTTTTGGGGGGGAGAGTTGGGTTTTTGTTTTGTTTTTGTGTTTCTGTGCTTTGGTGGTACTGGGAAATGAACCCAGGGCCTCTCAGACGGTAGTTAAGCACCCTAGCACTGAACTATCAGTATTCCTGCTCCTGGCCAGAAACTTGCTGTGCTGTCATTGAAGTTGTGATCCCATTGCTTCAGCCTTCCAAGTATTAGGATTACAAGATGTGTGCCACCATGTCTGAGTGTATTTTTTGTTTTAAACAGGGTCTCATTTATCCCAGGCTGGCCTTGAAATTGCTGTATAGCCAAGGATGACCTTGAAGTTCTGATTCCACTGCCCCCACCACTTCAGTGCTGGATCTATAGGCATGTGCCACCACACTCAGTGTTATGTCTGTAGTCCCTGAGAACTTACTGGCCAGCCAGCCTAAGAGAAATGGCAAGCTTCAGGTTCAGAGACCCTATCAAAAAAATACGGTAAAAGGAATAGAAGAAGACCCCAATTCTTCTTGGCCTCCCTTTGTGCATGCACTGGTGCAGGCACCCAAACCCACACTAAAAATAAAAATAAATAAATGTTGCTAGGAGTTGTGAAGCATATTTGTAATCATAGGAGGATCACTGCAAATGGTCTGATTGTGAGGCTATGTAACTAGGCTCTATCTCAAAACAAAAAGTGTGTATAGAATGTCTATAGAAAATCTTTGCTCACTATATCTGACAGGGAGTTAATATCTAGGATTTATAAAGAACTAAAAATTAAACACCAAGGATGCAAATTTTCTACTCAAATGAAGGAATGAACACAAAGTTCTCAAAAGAAGTACAAATGACCTAGAAATATATGAAAGAATGTTCACTATCTTTAGCCATCAGAAGAATGCAAATTAAAGCTTTATTGAAGATAAGCATGGTGGCACACACCTGTAGTTCCAGTACTTAAGAGACTGAGGCAGGAGGAACACTGCTAA